ATAAAATCCATAGCTATATCCTCCCAAACCTGATTAGAAATAGGTAAGGGATTGAGTAGACCAGCAGGGAGGGAATTTCCCGATTTGGCTTTTTGACCGATGGAACAATTTAGTACAAATTGTTTGATATACTCCTACATTTTAGGCCAATAGAATTGGGACATGATCCATGCTAAAGTCCTAGTCACTCCAGAATGACCACCTATAGGGGATGTATGATATTCTAGCAAGACGCTCTGAATTAATGAGCTGGATTGAAGAATAGCCTGCCCTTCCAATAAAGCAACCCTTCATTAACTGTAAACTTTGGATCTGCAGGGGCATCATCTAAGCAGGATTGAACAATGGCCGAGGCTTGCACATTAGACTGAATGTCCTATTTTAAATCCTGTAGAATTTGAGATTGAGGTTGGGACTGAGCTAAAAATAGAATTCTAGAGAGTGGATCAGCTTCTAGATTGTCTTTCCTCAGCTTATATTCAATTGTGAAATCAAAACCAAGGAATTTATGGAGCCAAACCTGCTGTTCTGGAGTTTGTAAGGACTGGTCCAATAAGCTTTTTAAGCTGTTTTGATCCGTTCTTATGATGAAGTGATGGCCCAAGAGATAATGTCTAAATTTAGCCAAGGCTTCAGTAATAGTCATTAATTCCCTAACATATGCAGACTGCTTTTGAGCTCTAGGGTCCAGCTTCTTCGAAAAATAAGCAATAAGATGACCCGATTGACTTGACAGCTCCAATCCCAGTACAGAAAGCATCTTTCAAGGGTTAATTAAAGTTTGATGAAAATCAGGTAATGCCAAAACTGTTGCACTTGTTATGGCTTGTTGCAGGTGGATAAAAGCCTCCTCCGCTTGTGCAGTCCAACAAACACTATCTTTCTTGAGTAAATTAGTGAGTGGCAAGGCTAAAGAAGCGTACCATTTAATAAACCTTCGATAATATCCAGTCAACCCCAAGAAACTGCAAAATTGCTTAAGATTAATTGGGTAAATGGCTTGGATTTTTGCCTTGTTCATAGCAACACCCTGCCCCGAGACTGTGACACAAATACTCCCACCTCTAACATACCAAAAGAACATTTAGATAATTTGACAAACAAAACCTGTAGCCGTAAAGTTTGTAAAACAGCTTCCAAATGTTCCAAATGATCAGAACAAGTGGGGCTATAAATGAGGATATTATCAAAGAACACTGCCACATACTTGCTGAGAACATCCTGAAAAATCTGATTTATCATGGATTGAAATGTAGTTGGGGCATTTTTGAGGCCAAATGGCATGACAAGCCATTCATAGTGCTGTGATGGGTTCTAAATGCAGTCTTGTGCTTATCATCTGGATACAACAATATTTGATGGTATCTCAACTGCAAATCCAATTTAGAAAAATACTTGGCACCATATAACTCATCCATCAAGTCATTACAGTAGGCATGGGAAAACTATCCTTTATAGTGATGGCATTTAAAGCTCGATAGTCTGTGCAAAATCTCCATGTGCCATTCTTCTTTTTTAATAACACAGTAGGAGAAGAAAAAGGGCTAGTTTTTGGTTGAATTATTCCTTGCTGCAACATTTCCTGAACCACCCTCTCGATTTGCCCCTTTTGACTATGAGGATATCTAGAGGGTCTGACTTTGACTGGCTGGGATGTCCTATTTTTTTACACTTTAATGTCCTATTATTTTATCTCAAATGTTGATTCCGTCTTGGAGTTTTGTTTTCATACACTAATTCAACTAATTGAACATATGTTTAAGGCTAATTGAACATATGCATTATTTTGATTATGAATTATGTAGTCAAATAGTGTGGTTCTAGGGTCTGTTTTCTTCATAGAAGAAGAAAATAGCGTGATTTTCTTTGTCAGCTTTTTATTTAATCTTTGTAATGGATTTTGTTTCTCAAAATTGGTTTTTTGTCTGTGGAAAATTTGACTGTTGGTTTGAATTTCATGCGGAAAGATTATAGAGTCAGTGTTGCTTCTAAGTCATTTCTATGCTTCTGGTTAGTGTTAGATAAGTATAATTTTTTAATTGAAGTTTTCAGAGAAATAACAACCATATGATTTATTTCAAGATTCAACCACTATGCATTTTATAGGCTAGCTCTTTATCTTGTTTTATGACATTATTTCATTTATGGCACATCAAACCTTTCTTGAGTGTATGAACCAAAAGAACACTGTAAATTTGTAGTGCTTTGGTAATTTTGTTGCTCAAAATCTACTTGTGACTCTCTGACTAGTGATGTCCTATGAAAGGTACTTATCTTTTGTAAAGAATGAATGCCTTTCATGTTCAAGGATTCAGAACCACTCAGGTTTTTTTGTTGCCTTGAGTAGTTTTCACATTCTTCAGAGTTTTCAGCACATTGCACCATACCAATTCATGTCTTTTAGATTGGTATGCTATGTTACTAGCAGGAGGAACTTCATACGTAGACTTTTGTAGTATGTAGCCACTTGTGTGTTATAGCAGCATGGTGCTGTTAAATAGTGTTTATTTCACCGAATCAATAAATCATGTTGTACTATACCGTTTTTAGATTCTATATGGAAGATCTATTTTATAAAACTTTAAATTTTGTTAGCCTATCTTTCTAGTTTAAGTTACTGTGTGCATGTTCCAAGCTGAATATAGTCTTCATATTCACAAAGAATAAGGATGTTGAGAATTAATATTTTTTATGATTTTAACCCTCTTTCCTTTCTTATGTCTCTAAGATGGAAATCAAGAGACATAACTTGATTTGTTTCATTTTCTTTTGATATATTATCTTTAATAAACAATTAAAATGTAACAGACTCCTCAAGCGGCATGACCCTTTGTTCAATTATTTTGGCTATCTCTCTTTATTTAATAATTAAATCATATTTATCTGTGATGCACATTAAACATTTATTGCATATTATTTTTTGATATGTAATACTTAGCATTATCTAGAGCAGACAATTTTATTTGACAGAGTTCTCGGCTTTATTCAGTTTGACAACAGGCCCTTCTTTTTGTAATAAGCCAGCATTGAGATCCGTGGTTCCTCCTGCATGCCCAACTCATTATCAATCTGGTGAAAAGTGTTTAGCTCGTGCACTTAGAAGAGCAGGGTTAGGGAATACAATCCCTACTAATCGTAAGCTGAAGTTTCATGTAATAGCTTCTGAATTTGTGCACCAAATTCAAAAGAAACGAAAGCTTGCATTGAAGGAAACTACTCCTAAAGTTGAGACTGAATAAGAAACAAAACTAATCTTTGATTATAGAATATAATGTTGAATTCTAAAGACTTTGCAGTGTATAGAATGAATATTTTCAATATCTGAAAAATAGGATTATGATTTAATGGGGGAGTATGAGGTGCCATGAAAAAAAAACTGTACCTTCTACACATGTATGTTTGTAATTTTATCTGTCATTGTTTATCTCTTTCTTAATCATATTCAATGAGCAGCATTACAATATATTCAATTGTTATTTGTTCTTTGAGAAAGAGTTCGTATATGCTTCTCAAGGTTTTTTCCATGGATTGGGAATATCGATCTTAAAATTTTGATTCTGGAAATCATATCATGCCTAACTCATTTAATCCTGCATGGTATTCTTGGTTTGTATAGAAGAATGAATATACAAATTACATATAATTTATTTTATATTTATTAGTTTAATAATATTTCTTTTGTGGCTCATAGATGAAAGAAGACCCGTAACAGACATTTAAGATTTTTATTACTGTGAAAATGCCAACAGAATTGGGAAAAAGAATTTTAACATAGCTCTTGTTGCTTCTTATGGGCATGATGTTGGTTGTTCTATTTGAACGGTGTTAAGCTTCCGAGTGGCTATCCTGGTATTTACTTTATAGTTTCATTTCTGATGAATCAAATGTTTGCTATCTTGTATTTTGTGGTTAATAATTACCTTGACCAGTCATATATTTTCAGATGCTGGTTTTGAACATGTTACCTGATGCTAGTTACTCAATGTGAATGTTGTTGAGGGACATTGATAGAGTTCAAGGGGAAGAGTCAATTAATCCGGTGGTAATTGATGGGCCAATGATTAGCAAGCCCAAAATATGGAGGGTCTATTCTAGGAGAAAGAAAATGAGTGGGGTCACGAAGGATTGAGTGGGTGAGCTGGCAGGTTAGTTATGAAGAATCTTAGTACAAATAAGTGGGGGAAGAGGAGAGAGGGGGGCAGCAGAGTTTGTTATGCAATTGGACAAAGAATTCTCTTTCTCTGAGGAGCACCAGGCTCTGCTCGGGTTTATTCCTTTTATTCTAAAATTAATACACTCAATAGATTTTTTGTTGAAATACTTTGTTATTTGTTGCTGCTGTTTTTAATTCTTTTTTTATCATTGTGGAATCCTAACAAATTGGTCCAACCAGCTGGATTAAAATCTTCGTCCATGCCACCAAAAATGTCTGATCGGATGGATGTGTTGGAAGCAGAATTGGGGTCGTTGAAAATAGGAATGGAGGAGATGCAAACTTCGTTACAGTCCACTCTTCAAGCATTCCAAAGCTCCTTATTGAAGGAGGTGGGGGAGATGTTAGGAAAACAAGTCGATGAACCACAAGGGGGAGCTCATTTTTCAGGAACATCCATGGTTGCTAGAGGAAATTCCTCTCTTCATTCATCATTAAACACAATTGAGGTATCAAATGGAGACCCATTGGAAGAGTATCACTTATCTGCAAGAAAGGTGGAATTGCCTATGTTTGATGGTACAGGTCCTGTTGGATGGATTACTAGACCTGAAGTATATTTTGAAATTTGAAGTGCAGAATATCTCTGAAGAGGTGAAGCTCAAACTTGCAAAACTCAGCATGGAGAGGAACCACAATACATTGGTTCAACCTACTTCGTGAGACTGAAGAGCTTTTATCATGGGAGAAGCTGAAACGTGCGTCGATTGTTCACTACGGGGCCGAAAATTTGCAAATCCATTTGAAGAACTTGCTTCTCTCAAACAAACGGACACCATAGAAGAATATGTCGAAAAATCCATTTGGAATTCTAAGGGGAAGGATCATAGTGTTGGGCTTGGGCCTCGAAGTAATTGGAACCTTAAAGAGTTGGGCTCAAATGATAATAGAGGAAGTGGGGCATATGTGGGTGATCGCAGATTCAATTGGGTCTGCATCAGCAAGGCAACCGGCCCAAAGTACTCGTGTAATTCATGAAGCGGGAGAACGACGTGGATGGTTAGAGAAATCGCATGGATTGTGCCAGCTTCCTTACTTGGAGTTGCTTGAACGGCGGAGCAAGGGGTTGTGTTTCCGTTGTGGTGATAAATTTCATGCTCTCCATCAGTGCCCGGAAAAGCAACTATGCTTACTAGTGTTGGACAAGAATGAGACATTGAACGCCGACGAAGAAATAGTAGCTTTGGCAATGACAGATTCAGAAGAAGAACCCGAGCCAGAATGTAAGTCTATGGGGTTGTTAGGGATGGAGGAAGGAGAATCATTGCACTCGAAAACAATGCGTATGGCTGGATCGTTGTTTGGGGTGGTCGTTGAAGTGTTGATTGACAGTGGTGCGGCCTATAATTTCATTTCAACCGAGCTAACTCAAACTCTGGGAATAGAGGTACAAGATTCTATTAGAATGGGAATAAAATTGGGTGATGGACACAGAGTGTTAACTCGTGGTAAGTGCTCTGGGTTAGTACTTAAATTTCAAGATACTAAATTCCAAATTGATGCATATGTCTTGGAGCTAGGAGGAATGGACCTCATTTTAGGGGTAGCTTGTCTGAGGACATTGGGGAAGGTGTTAATGGATTGGAGAGACATGACAATGCAATTTCAACAAGGGGAAAGACAAGTCAATTTAAAAGGAAATTGTCAAAGGAGAGTTAATCCATCAGTAGCAATCGTCTCATTGCAAGAATTTCTAGGCAATAAGTTGTTGGAGGTAGGAGGTTTTAAATGGTCTAATTCCTCAACTATGGTAATATCCAGGGATTTGACAAAACAGCAATGTGGGGAGTTGGCGGTTTTGCTAGAAAAACATGCAGGGATTTTTCAAGGATTAATGGGGCTCACTCCTTGGAGGAGTCGTTCACATGCAATCAAATTACATGCAAGTCAAGGTCCTGTTAGTGTAAGACCTTATCGATATCCACACCATCAAAAGGAAGAAATAGAGAAGCAAGTAAAGGAAATGTTGCACTCTAGGATGATAAGGCCGAGCTCCAGTCCTTTTACTAGTCCAGCTCTTTTGGTTAAAAAGAAGGATTATTCTTGGCAGTTATGTGTCGACTACAGGGCTTTAAACAAGGCCACTATTCCGGATAAATATCCAATTCCCGTTGTTGTTGAGTTATTGGATGAACTCTACAGGGCTAGCTATTTTTTGAAGTTGGATTTGAAATCGGGCTATCATCAAATCCAGGTTTGCGATGAAGACATCTCTAAGACTGCATTTCGAACGCGCAACAGTCATTACGAATATGTTGTAATGCCGTTTGGGCTCATGAATGCTCCTGCCACCAAGGTTGTCAAACTCGAGAGCCTACACAAACTCGTGGAGCTCTCGTAGACTCGACTCGTAGACTGGACTCGTAGACTCGTAAGAGTCTACCTAATCATTATGACATCTTCCCCTGTTTTAGCTCTGCCAGATTTTGACAAGCCATTTGAAGTGGAATGTGATGCGTCAGGTCTCGGTGTGGGTGCTGTCTTGATGCAAAACCGCAGACCAATTGCCTATTTTAGCAAGGCTTTCTCTTCAAATCATTTGTCTAAGTCAGCTTATGAAAAAGAATTAATGGCTGTGGCGCTTGCCATTCAACATTGGAGACACTATTTATTGGGAAAAGAGTTCTTAGTCTACACAGATCACAAGACCTTGAAGCATTTGTTGCAACAAAAGATCACCACTCTTGCCCAACAATCTTGGATGGCCAAACTGTTGGGTTACCAATTCCAAGTCATTTATGAACCTGGTTTTGAGAATAAGGCAGCTGATAGTCTTTCTCAGGTTCATGAAGCCGTGGAAAATGGATTTATTTTGGGGGAGTTACAGGCTGTCCTCTCTTATCCAGTTTGGTTAGAAGGAGATCAACTTTCCCATGAGGTGTTACAAGATCCGTACTTGAAGCAAATCATTACTGAGCTACAACATAATCCATCATCCAAACCGGGTTTTACTTTTCAGCATGGTGTTTTGTTATATAAGAATCGTTTGGTCATTCTTGCCTCTTCTCATATTCAAATATTGTTGTGTGAATATCATTCTTCCCCTATTGGAGGTCATTCGGGTTATTTACGCACATATAGACGCATTGCAGGAAACTTATATTGGTTAGGGATGAAAAAATGTATTCGTGAATTTGTTCAGGCGTGTGACATTTGTAAGAGGCAAAAATATGCAGCCACTAGTCCAGCAGGATTATTACAGCCACTTTGGGTTCCAAATCAGATTTGGGAGGATATTTCAATGGATTTTATTACTGGTCTTCCCAAATCCAAAGGTTATGAAGCTAGATTTGTGGTTATTGATCGTTTGTCGGCCATTTCATCCTCCTTAAACATCCTTATACAGAAAAAGTTGTGGCCGAAATCTTTGTTAAGGAGGTGGTTAGACTACATGGTATACCTCGTACCATCTTTAGTGACCGTGATCCCTTGTTTCTTAGTAACATTTGGCGAGAGCTTTTTCGATTACAAAGCACCAAACTGAGAATGAGTTCCTCATACCATCCAGAAACAGATGGACAATCAGAAGTTTTGAACCGTTTTTTAGAGACTTATCTTCATTGTTTCGCATTAGAACAACCAAAGAATTGGTCATATTGGGTTCCATGGGCCGAGTTATGGTACAATACCTCTTTTCACATCTCTGCCCAGTCCACTCCATTTGAGATTGTTTATGGAAGAAAAGCCCCCTCCGTAACCCGATTTCTGCGCAATGAGACCAAGGTTGAAGCAGTGGCTCAAGAATTTATTGACCGTGATGAGGCTCTTAGGCAACTGAAGCACAATCTTCTCCGTGCACAACAACATATGAAGTGCTTTGCTGATAAGCACCGTGTGCCACATGAATTTACAATTGGTGACTGGGTCTTCTTAAAGCTTAGACCCCATAGACAACAGTCTGTTCATAGACGAATTAATCAGAAGTTAGCTGCTCACTACTATGGTCCTTTTCAGATTTTGAAACACGTGACCTCAGTGGCATTCAAATTGAAATTACCCTCAAATTCAAGGGTTCATCCAGTGTTCCGTGTATCTTAGTTAAAGAAGGCAATAGGGAATTATTCTTCTGAGGTTATTTTGCCAAAAGAATTGGATATGGAACTGGCAGATTCAGTGATACCCGAGTCTGTATTGGCGAGCCGGGAAATCAGCAAGCATGGTATTCCTATTAAGCAGTGGTTGGTTAAATGGCAGGGCAATTCCTTGGAGGATACTACTTGGGAAGATGAAGCTGTTCTACAAGGACAATTTCCAGATTTAGCCTTGAAGACAAGGCTGTGCTTTTACCAGCAGGCAATGATAGAGTTCAAGGGGAAGAGTCAATTAATCCGGTGGTAATTGATGGGCCAATGATTAGCAAGCCCAAAATATGGAGGGTCTATTCAAGGAGAAAGAAAATGAGTGGGGTCATGAAGGATTGAGTGGGTGAGCTGGCAGGTTAGTTATGAAGAATCTTGGTACAAAATAAGTGGGGGAAGAGGAGAGAGGGGGCCAGCAGAGTTTGTTATGTAATTGGACAGAGAATTCTCTTTCTCTGAGGAGCAATATGCTCTGGTGAGGAGCCTCATAGTGTGTTTGGATGAAGAATTTAAATGGAGTAATTCATTTATTTGAAGAATTTCAAATTTTTTGAGGTAAAATACCTTGTTTGGATGGAGAATTTACAAGGAATTTGAAATTCAAGCATTTGTTAAATTCTTTGAAATAGTAGAATTTCAAATTCTCCCAAAAAAGTAAGAATTTGAAATTCCTCATTTTCTTTTCTTATTTCCCTTATATATTTCATTTTATCTTTTATCTCTTCATGTTTTTAATTATTGAATATTCAAAAATATTTTTAAAATTATTAAATATTATCTAATATTAATTTTTAAAGTTATTATTATATCCAATCCAATAATTTAAAATTTGAGAAATTTGAATTGACTTATCCAAACAAAATATTTTAAGAATGATAGAAATTGAAATCAAAGTAATTCAAATACCAAGAATTTAAAATTCCTTGAATTTGTAAAATTCCTCATTCAAACACACCATCAGGCTTTGGTTGGGTTTATACCTTTTATTCTAAAATTAATATACTCACAGATTTTCTGTTGAAATACTTTGTTATTTGTTGCTGCTGTTCTCAATTCTTTTTTTATCATTGTGGAATCCTAACAGACATGATAAGGTCATGTTGGAGTGATGAGATTTTTTTATCTAAGGCCTTATAGTCATAGAACCATCTAATTATGTTTAATAAAAGTTGTGTCTCTCTAGCATTACCATATATCATGTTATTCAACAACATACTGTCAAGTAATTTCTTCTGTTTATTTAAGACTTTAAAGTTTGTAAATACTATGTTGTTGTCTGGGTTTCTTATTTAATTATTTAAGTTTTATGTTTAAGAAATGATCAAGTTTGATTCCATTGTCTACTTGTTGGACATTCATTTTAAAGGTCATTTCTATTGATTCATTGAGAAGAAAAAAAAAATAAATATATATATATATATATATATATATATTTTTTTTTTTTTTGTGTATATAAAAAAATTATGTTTAATAAAAGTTGTGTCTCTCTAGCATTACCATATATCATGTTATTCAACAACATACTGTCAAGTAATTTCTTCTGTTTATTTAAGACTTTAAAGTTTGTAAATACTATGTTGTTGTCTGGGTTTCTTATTTAATTATTTAAGTTTTATGTTTAAGAAATGATCAAGTTTGATTCCATTGTCTACTTGTTGGACATTCAATTTAAAGGTCATTTCTATTGATTCATTGAGAAGAAAAAAAAAATAAATATATATATATATATATATATATATCTTCTTTTTATTTGGGTGTATAAGTAACAGCAGTCTATGAAAGCAGGTGATTACGGACTAGGTTTTTCTTTCAAAGAAACTCAAATTTGTCTAACCTGGGACCATCCTGAAGACTGCACTGCAAGTATTTTTTTAATAATATTTAAATAAACTAAATTAAAAATGAACCAAGAGACTTTTGCACCTATTTGTAAGAGATGATATACAATTCAAGAGGCTACACGAGTAAGGATTTTGACACCTTTTTATTTAACTCTTGTAGAAAGACTAGCTTCTTCGAAAGAGTAAAATATACTTTTGAAAAGAAAAATGTGTAGAATATCGCTGGCTGAGATTTTAATAATTCTAATTGAATCTTTAATATTTTTTACTTGAATCTTCCCTGAATTCGTAAAGAGATGTATCTTCGTCTAATTTAAAACATTTTGTACCAAAGAAAATATCTCATGGTTAAAAACCCGGTTCAAACTTCATGTGGAAGAGAAAGCCATGAAGTGATGATGGAAGGGGAGAAAAAATTACACTACCCTGACTTTGGTTAAATTTAACCTCAAAAGTAACGGGGAAGGTTTTATTTATATTTTTTTTTTATTATCATCTTTTAGCTGGTAAAGCAAACAGACCTAAGTCCCTAATAGTTTACTCTTCTGAAATTTCTCAACCTTTCACTCACTAACCAAGTGTGGCCAAAAGTTAATTAATACTTCCAATTAGCATATATTTGAATTTGAATCAGGTAACCGAGAAATAGAATAAAATCCAGATGCCACCATCATCTAGATATCTCAGGAGGATAAAACACTTCGAATGATTACTTCTTGAGAAATCAGCCCACAATCTGGCAGAGTTGCCATATGCATACATTGACTAACAAAAATGCAAATTGTATGAAGCATAGGAAATGAAAAAAGTGAATAGTACATGTCTTACGTATCAGAAACCAAAGGGCAAAGTCAAAGTCTAGGAACCACAATTAATATCCAAGTCATGGTTGGAGGCACCAATCATCCAAAACAAAGTAATGGTTGACACTTAGTCAGAATCACCATACACTTCTCCATCATCGGATAACTCATCAAAAGATCTGATGTCAAGCTGGTAACGAAGAATTCCACCAATGCCACCAAAGCCTCTGCAGAATTGTGACCCTTCTTGAGATTTGTTGGTCACAAATTCAAGGGAGCATCCAAATCGTTTGTACTCATTGGCAAACCACTCCAGCAACGGCATCTTCTCCTGAACTTCCAACTCTGCAGAAGTCGCCAAATCGCGGAAGTTGCTCTGATTAGTCTCTTGTTCCTTGCTCAAGTGCTTTATGACAATCTCACCAGTGGTAGTATTTTTCAGCACATACCTATTAATATCCAAATTTTCCCAAACAATGAGTATTTCCACAGCACCCATCTCCAGTGCCTTGAGAGTGTCATCAACCCCAAACACATATTTCCCAGTGTCCTGGCTGATCTCTTCAAAATATTTCCCTATCAACTTTTTCTCTTGAATGAACTTCACATTAGATAAAATCTCTGCAGATAACTCAATAGCTTGGTTAAATCCATTTTCCCCACCATAAGAAACATCTACCACATTCAGTATTTTCGCTTGCAACCGAGGGTCGAACATATCTGACTGACTGAGCTCAGTCTTGAAGTCAGCAGAACCAGCAAGTATAAGTCCAGAAACATTAGGTTGACTAGTGGCAGGATTGATGAAAAACTGAGTAGCAAGTTCTGCTGTTTTTCTAACATAGTTGTGCCTCTTTTCCATCCTAAGACGAGCAAAACGCAAAGCTGATTGACCTCCTCTGCCGTGCTTCTTTGGAAGGTCAACAGTAAATTTGTGAAGCACCTCACGAGTGTTTCCACTTAATGTCCCGAAAAGGGTGCCATTTCCATCCATAACAATGAACCCAAACTTGTCATCAGATTCCAAAAGTTCATTTAGAGCCTCTGTGTGAAACTTGTTATCACAGAGGTAGAGTGATGCATTGATAGGCTTGAAAGGCTCAAAATCAAATGTCACTTTCTTTTCCTTGCCATCTTCAGTGACAATGGTTCCAGTGTAAAGAACCAAACCATTTGGAGGAACCTTATTATATAGTTTCAACCTCTGCTGCGCAGAGGTAATGGCTCCCAATACTGACTGTCGGTTCACCCTACTTTTGATGTTTGAAGCTGTTCCAAATTCATCTCCCAACATTTTGGTGACCCGGGATATTTGATCACGTGGAGGCATTATCAGAGAAATCATGCTGGTACCATTACCTCTAGCAGCTTCCAGTGCCTTGATCAATTTCTTGATCTTCCATATTTCAATGTTCTTGTCTGAATCTTGACTATCAGCCATTGTTTTGTGATAACAAGAAGACTAACCTAAAAGCATAACAACAAAGGTACAAGGTACAAATTCAGCAAACAGCAACGTACCCAGTTAACCATCATATATATAGTCTATAATGGTATGGAATCATAATTGAATTCTTTTTATAAAACTAAGTTAATATGCAATGATGCATCTGTTAGAACAAAGTCATGACTTAAAAATAACAAAGCCCATTAGTGGTGGAAAATATATGGAGTGGCTGTGTTTTTGGATTGGATTATAATGATGGGGGGAAATCCATTTAAGATCCATCAAGTAAAATTTAAAATATCCAATCTACCACTGACGAGTTTAAATAGATAAATATCCAATTCATCCATTACCAAATTGTTATGAATGATATCCAGCACATCCATTTGTAGTTTTATTATCTTTAGTTTTTCATATGCTGTTATGCACACACTCTCTCATCCCCTTTCACTTTATTCAGTATCGCAACTAAAGTACCCAGGTTTTGTTTCCGCAAATTGATAATAGCTTAGATATATAAAACACAACAGCAAAGTTTAAGAACTCGAAGAGGGTGATTCATCAAACAAGGAAATAACACCAACCCAAAAGTCTCCAAGTTTTTGAGGATTCAATCAACAACAAAAAGTGTGCCAACCCAAAGGCAATTTACAGTATAGGAGAAAAAGAAGGGGATTGATGGTGGAGTGCAGCAGAAAAGTTGGGAAAGGACAGCAAGGAGTGACAACACTAATAATGACAACAATGACAACAGTGCAAGGGTGAAGAGTGAGACATGTCAGAACTTAGACAATGGTGGCGGGTGATCCTTTTACACACCCAATGAAGAAATCAAAATGGTAAATTTAGCCCATTAAAAATCAATACACACATGGATTGATGATGATAGCGTGCCATACATGGAAAGTGAAACTACTTGTTATAGGTTATACTTTATTATATATAAATGGAACATCTTTAACCATGTTTAGAGATATTGGTGCATTATACATAAACTCTTGGTAGCTGGCACCCTTATATATGCAATGATTTTCTTCCCAGAGTTGATAGGAAATCATAGAATAATACTTGAGATCCCCAAAGCTAACATGGCATCATATTCGGTAATGAAAAATAAAATAACAAAACAGTGGCAAGCAAAAAAACTGAGCAAGACATTCAAGAGAAAGACTGATGGAATACCACTGTAAAATCTTATTTGCATACAATGGTTCAAATAAGTTGAATTTTTGGACTGTTGTGAAAAAGACAAAGAAAAACGCAGTGCTTAGCTTTTCATTTCTTGCATAAATAAAATTTTCTATCATGCGTATGAGAATAAGCAAGCAATCCATATATATATAGAGAGAGAGAATGTTTGTGTTTGCAATATGTGCTGCAGGGGAGAGTTTGCAAAATTATAACATAAAGGGCTAACGCAGAAATTCAAATGTTTAACAACTCCTAAAGCATTTCCCAAAACCTTATAATAAAGTTTGCTCGCGCAAATCATAATATTTATACATTATACAAAATACTACAATAAATAGGAATGATTAAAATCGGACCAACGCAAACGAAAAATTCGAAATCAATCTAAAAAACTGAAAACCGATAAAATATCGTAAATTAGTGGTTTGGTTTGGTTTAATTTTTAAATTTTTAAAATCACGCATTTTAGTTTGATTTTCATATTGAAATGTGATATCACTTCAAATCAAATTAAATTACACTTGTTTGTAAATATTTTTCTTTTCAAATGCATAATGAATGTATACAAAATAAATTGCAAGTTACAAAAAAGTGTTTTTCTTTTCAAATATATTTAATAATATTTAAAAGATATTTTGTAAAATTATAAATTATTAAATTGAATTTTAGAAAAAAAATTAATTATTTATACCGTTCGAAAATAATTTTTCAAATTTACATGTATGACAAAAAAATATTTAATATAATAACTAAAATTATATTAAAGAAATATTTTTACTAAAATAATAAAATAAAAAACAAAATATTTTCATATTTACGTTCTATTAATTATATTTTTTACATAGTATCTTAAACAAATAACATAATATTACATAATTTTAATTGATTTTTAAATAAACTTTAAAAATTCATAAAAATTAAATAAAACCAAATTACAAAAGATTTATTTATTTTGATTCAAATTTCATAATTACTAAAATAAATCACACAATTTTTTTTATTTAATTTGAATGACTTTTTACATTAAAAATCAAAGTAAATCACACCTAGAACACCCATGCATTCGGTTAAGAAAAAGACTGAAAACGTTTTACATATTTTCAAATATTTTGTTTGAGAAAAAAAAAAAAAAAAAAAAAATCAGCCAATTCAGATATTTTACGTGCAGAGATTTTTATACTTAAGACCAATCAGAAATCATCTCGTCTGAATTTACTATAATAAAAGCAAAAAAAAATTATGATAAATACGTAATTAGATATTAGATCACAGAGTAAGTGCATTCTAATTAAAGTTTTTCTTATAAGAATCTAGACTCAAATCATCCTGTTTAGAACTCTAAAGAAACTGAAAATACTGCAATGATAAAAGTTTAACCTATCCATCGACAAATATATGCATCAATCACTCTGCCATATGAAAATGCAACAAAAGCTGCAAAAACGGAGATTTACGTGAATTCTTTTACCCATAAATAGTGGGCACTTTTAATTGAACCATCCGAAATTAAGAACTTAGCAAAAATCAATCAATCCAAAGGATATAAACGAATTCGGTAAGTAACCACACAAATTCTCCTCAATTTTTTTCCTCATCTTATTATAGAAAGTCAAAAGTTTGTTGGACCCGTTTTCGAAAAGTGCTTCAAAATCGAAAAATAATAAGTACCAGCAATACGAGTCAAAACAGATTCAACTTTCTAGTCAAACCACGAAAGCAAATTGCAAATTAACACATCAACCTACTAAAAAACCCAGATGCAGTTTACAGAACCGTATCCATAAACAAATCAAATCAAACCCAAGATGGAAACTTTTAGACTCTAGTAAAGAAAAACCAAGTGAGTGACCAAAACCCACTTTGAAACCAAACCTCAAAAGAAAGAAAAAAGAAATACCGAAGTAGTACAAATCGAATACAGGTATTTGAATCCAACACGTGAGGTTTCAGATTTACAAGGAAAAAGGATTTGAGGAAGGGGCCGTACCTCTCTGATGACGGTGCTGAAGATGAGAAAAGAGTGTGAAACTCTTCCAATTAGGGTATTCACGCTGGTGCTTGCTTCTTCAACCTCTATTTTTTCATTATTATTATTATTATATTTTTTTACTTGGATTTGTATAATAGCGTTGTGTGGACCCACCACCGGCATGTTGTTGAAAGGGGATGTGCTCCGTTTCTATAGTTTTTTAATCATTTTTCACTCCCCTCCATGGGACTGCCGCTGTTTAGGCACCCGTTTTATATTAAAAAATTCTTAGAAAGTTAAATCTTAATTTTTGTAGACATATATGGTCAAGGAGTTTTTTTGTACTAGAGTTAAAATTTTGCTTACTCTTGATTTTGCGAGTAAACTCTTGAGTGGGACAATAATATTTGGTCTCAAAAATTTTAATATATCATTGGTTCTTCTTAGGAAGTCTTGGGATGTCATCTCTTATTTATCATTTTACATTTAAAAAGAAGAAGAAAAAAAAGTAGTCTTGGAGTAGAATTTTTTCCTTCCTATAGTTTAAACAACGAAAACTTTTGTAATTATGTCTTTGATATATGTTATTGTAAAGAAAAGATAGACATTAAAAAGGAAGTTAAATAGTATCAATCAAAAATTTACATTTTTTCTTAAACAACAAAGTAGTATCTTAATTTTAGTATGAGTGATGATGAAGAGATAAAAAAGAATAATACAATACGTTTTTATACTAATTCGTCTCAATCATCGAGACTACGTCCAATTCTTGATCAACTTGATCAAGTTTCATTATCTTTTACAAACGTACAAGTATCTCTAACTCAACCTAAGTACTTTTTGACTTGACTCTTCAAGCAACTATCCAAGTATTCTTTGAACACAAAATTGTTAGAAAAGATTGTTGATTCAAGAAGGGATGAATTGGATTTTAAAAATTCTTAACTTTCTTGGATAAAAACTTTTCTAAAGTTTTTCCAATTAAACCAAATGAATTTAAGCCAAAGCAAAATGGAATGTTGAAAACACTTATTATAATGGATGATTTTAATGACCTTGCATGCTATGTTCAAGTTATAAGAAACATTAATGAGCATGTTATTAGATTAACAAGAAAGTAAATTCAAGTTAAAGGGTAAGAGAAACTTGCACAATAATTTATACTGGTTCAGTTACTTCCACTAGTGACATACATTCGATCTCCAATCAATCTGATTGAGTATTTCTACTATTCATTAATTTCATAAGTTTTACAATCACATAACCACATGTAAAACACTTAAGCAAATTAAAATACTCAAGAACCTATCTACCTTGAGAAACCTACTCAAGAATTACAAAAGAATAAAGAAAGATATTACCTTATGTACAAAAAAAAAATGCTCAAGTGTATCAAAACTAAACCACTTAGCCACAATCATTCAAGTAGATGATGATGACAATTCACTCTCTTGATTCATGCTAGAGGTTCCCACAAAAGGTTTCAAATCCCTCTTCAAGAAAATACTTTTTTCAAAATTCACTCAATCAATCCGATTGAGTATTTCTACTATTCTTCAACTTCAAAAGTTTTACAATCACATAACCACATGTAAAACTGATGGAGGACCATCCTTGGTACTTCACTTCATGTGAGACCCATCACATGGTTCATGGCTATGGCCAATTTGAGTAGTATAGAATTTATTGCTTTATTCCAATTTTACCCTTGTATTTTGGGGTATTTTAGTCATAGGATTTATTTTCTTTGTATTTCCCATTTTACCCTTGTATTATGGGGTGCTTTAGATGATTAGGGTTTTAATTTTGGGCTAGGGTGTTACATGAGGAGGTGACGCATTTTTGGTGAGCATTGGACCTATTTTTGGTGTTAGAAAGGCTTAGGCCCAAGTGGAGGGCAAAGGTTGCATGGACTTATCATGCACCTAGAAATAGCCAATCTAACCCCTTAGATTCCATCCTTGGCCACCAAGTAGCATCTAGGGTTCATTTGGCAACTTCCTCGGCGCTTGCCGACGAAGTCATTAATAAACGTGGTTGAATCTCCCCAATGGACGTGATTTTCCCGTTTCGGCCTTTGGCTAAATTCATATTGATGTTCACTTGATTATTTGTGCAGGAATCATGGCGACAAGTGGTGCCGATTAGTTCAACATCAGCAACCTTTTGGCTAGCCGGATGCAGCAGGCTAAGGCTTCGGGGGCTGTGGGCAGATCGACAATTGCCCAAACGCCTCGTCCAATACAGGATGACCGAACCCCGTCCACTCCAGATCGGAAGCGCCGAAAGGTGAAGAAGGGGAAAGAGGTTGCTCATGAGGGGCCGAAACGAAAAGGTAACAAGGAGAGGCCGGAGAAAACCAAGAAGTCCAAACACTCCGCGTCTTTCTGAGTGAAGAGGTCACCGCCGAGTCACTAGTTCGGCCAAACGCCATTTCTGATCATGGACGTGAATTCCTAGGCCAGTTCGATGTTGTGGCCAAATAGAAGTATTTCTGCAAGGTGCAATCTCGGTCACTAGCACTCGCGCACCACCTCGCCATGGAGCCTATCGGCGAGCTGGTGCAATTAAGGCAAAGGGTTGAGGATGCCGATAAGGCAACAACCGAGGCTGTGCGGTTGCCGAGAAAGCTTTAGCGAGAAATCGGCAACTTGCGGCCGAGCTAGATGTTCAGCGGCGCAACAACGATACTCTTCGGCTGGACATGCAAAAAGCCGCAAACGAAGAAAAGCGCCGAACGGATGAAGCCAAGGCGGAACTGGAGCGAGTGAAAGAGCAAGCCAAGGATCGTATCATTGCCCAGCATGAAGCTGGGTTTCGCCATGCCCTTCGGCAAGCGCAGCACTTCGGCCGTTTCAGAGAGGGCTTTGAGTTTGACATGTCAAAAGATTTCTACCAAGGATCTTTCATGTCTTTCCAAGATATGCCTGAGGGGGCCGTCCCTGACAGTGATGCGCCGAATGATGACCTCGAAGACGAGGAGATTCATGACGCCTCGGATGGTGAGGTTGAAACCCAACAGGAAGAGCCGAACCAAGACCAAGAGGGCGAGCCCAAGGTGCAAGGAGACGCTGGCAATAACATCGAAGAGTAATCGTTGTTGTAGACTTGGTACTTTTTTGTATGACAGGCCGATAGAGCCTTTTTACTTTGAGTGCATTGTTGCTGTGAAAGCCCTTTATTTTGAATGTACTATTGGCCGATAGCGCCTTTTGACGTTTATTAATGAAAAGCACTGGTTATTGAAGAAACTTGGCATTGCACCATGATTTGCACTTTTTTTTTATTGTTTTTGAATCAAAGCCGAACGGGTTCCTTCATATGTGATTGTACTTGAGTCAAGGCCGAATGGGTTCGTTCGGATTTGATTGCTTTTTGAATCAACGCCGAACGAGTGCATTCGGAATTGATTGTATTTGAATCAAAACCGAACGGGTTCCTTCGGAATTGATTGTATTTGAAGTCAAGGCCGAATGGGTTTGTTCGGATTTGATTGCCTTTTGAATCAAAGTCGAACGAGTGCATTCGGAATTGAATGTAATTGAATCAAAACCGAACGGGTTCCTTCGGAATTGATTGTATTTGAAGCCAGGGCCGACTGGGTTTGTTCGGATTTGATTGCCTTTTGAATCAAAGCCGAACGAGTGCATTCGGAATTGATTGTATTTGAATCAAGGCCGAATGGGTTTGTTCGGATTTGATTGCCTTTTGAATCAAAGCCGAACGAGTGCATTCAGAATTGATTGTATTTGAATCAAAACCGAACAGGTTCCTTCGGAATTGATTGTATTTGAAGCCAGGGCCGAATGGGTTTGTTAGGATTTGATTGCCTTTTGAATCAAAGCCGAACGAGTGCATTCGGAATTGATTGTATTTGAATCAAAGCCGAATGGGTTTGTTCGGATTTGATTGCCTTTTGAATCAAAGCCGAACGAGTGCATTCAGAATTGATTGTATTTGAATCAAGGCCGAATGGGTTTGTTCGGATTTGATTGCCTTTTGAATCAAAG